TATAATTCATACACCTTGCAACTTATCGAATGCATAATTTACACACTGTTGCTAGTGTTCATAAATGGGATTTGAGTGCGGTTCCCTAAATACTAACCCTGAGAGAACTTTTTTCCCCGATTCTTCCGACAGGAGGGCCGCCCGTGGTGTATTTAGGGTGATACAGAGGACAGGGAAGTGTTTGAGTAATCAGAGAGCAGACATGAAGGCCCAAGGCCTGTGCTGTCGGTCTGAAGATTAACTAGGGATTTCTCAGGAATGCTTTTGCTTTCTATTCAGAGAACGAGACAGGATTTATTTTTATACCCAGTTTGACTGCAATGAAGGTTTGGCATGACACATGTACCACAGGTCATCTGTCTTTATTACATTGACAAAAGTAAACCCCAACTGGAGTAAGGAAATTGGATTAACAGATAAGGAATAACTGATTGATAGGAAGAAAAGAGCTAGGATAAAATGGAAAGGCAAACCATCTGGTAGGATGCCCATGTGCCTTTAAGTGAAAGTAAGACCACTGTCTTCACGGTGCCAGCGCTGTGGCAAGTAGTTGCAATTTTAGTATACCATCTGTAGCAGCCAACTGGAGCCTTGAATTGGCCTGTTTTTAAATTTGGTTTGTTTTTTCTCTTTACAATCCTAGCTATCACTTCAGCTTTGTTGTTTAAAAATCTACAAACTGCTCACTCTGCAGTTGAATGACTCCACTTTATTTTGCTATTCTCCTTTCATTCAACACCCTAATATAAGCATCTCTCTTGAATTTTTTTTTTCTTTTTTTTTTTAGGAAAACCATTCTTATCGAAATGGTACGGAGTGAGGACTCTGAAGTACAGAGCCTGGAGCAGGCTCGTGAATTCTAAAGTGAAAGGAAATAAGTTTATTTTAAAACTCAAATGATGTAAATGCTATTATGGCTTTTAGTACTTATCTTCAGTGGGCATTTTGTTAGTAGTCCTGGTGGCGGTGATACAAATGATAATTGATGTCCTCTGTTAGGAAAATTGGGACTCCACTTATGCTGGCCTTTAAGTAATAAAATTGTAGGGTCTGTTATGACCTCACATTCCTGGCTTTTGAAGGAATGCAAGGGTACCTTTAGTGTGCAATGAAGCCACTGGGATGCAGGGGGTCATTGTTGTGGAAATTTTTAAATGATTGTAAACATAACATCTGCCTAGGACAGGTGTAAGAATTGGGATGTATAACCCATTTTAATATCAACTCTGTCTTTAACAGTGTGCCATCAGCCCTTCATTTGCATGTCATTGCTTTAAACAATACCCTGTAGCAACTCTTTATATGGGATTTACATTGTCACAGGTAATGCCTGTGTAGTGCAGAAATGATTTAGGGTCCAGGAGGATGTGCCTAAGAAACATGCTAATACTGTGCCACTGGGTATGAGGGACTGGAGCATCCACAGTGAGTCTTGGGCTAAGACTGTACTGAGAAGTGCAGGGGCCATTTAAAACACTTGTGTAATTCAAAGTAAAAACCCTCAGAATTGTTGGAGCCGCCAAGTTTTTTTTTTTTTTGGGTGCCCAAAGATGATGGAGTCCATGAAGAACTGAAAGTATTCATGGCATCGGTGTACAAAGGAGTTACAAAGGATTACAGGCAGAGTGACACAAAGCTTGCACTCCATCAAAACCCTACTTTCCTCTGTCCTCCCCAGAAGTATCTGCATTCCTTAAAGTTAGCATTTTAACATCAGGAATACGTACACTTCTGACAGCGTTGTGCTTTTCTTTATACTAGTGAGATCACTAGGGATATAAAAGGTCTGTTTTAGCCCTGAAGGCTGCCCTGCTTTTGTTGCTTTATGAGTGTATTTATAGATATATAATTCATGCCTCTAGGGCTGATATCTAGCAAAAGGGGCTCTCTGCCATCGAAAAAGACAGTGTATTAAAAATTTAATAGGACCCTTCTGAACTGTGAGAATGTTGGGGGTGATGGTGAATGTAGCAGGTCATCTAAAAAAGACAAGAGGACCAGCAGGAAGTTTCTCTCTGGCTTCAACCTCTGCTTCCTTGGAAATAGAGTCTGAGGAGTCACAGAAGTAACAACACAATGAGTCTGAAGAGCACTGCACTGGGAGAGGACACCATGCTCCACTTCCTTGAGCTTCTGTTGTGTCTCTCTGGGCTTGTTACCTCATGTGTTACTTGAAATATTCTCATTATGTGCTTGGAAATTCAAACAAAATGGGAAGAAATCATTCTTGCCTCCCACTCTATTAGGCATTCATTGGTACACATTTAGCTATGTGGTGCCATAGAATTAGACACTCAGAGCACATAAAGATGCCCAAGCTCATCACCACGAAATTGCTCTTCCTCCACTACCAGAAAAAATGGTCACAGACAAACATGGCAAGTACCTGTGGAGAAAATAGAGACAGACTCAAGTATTTCATAGGGGCTTAGCTTACATGTTAACATGATGGGTATTTCTAAGTTGGGCATTTCTAGTACCCTGCCCACCCAGAAGCAAATGGTATTTGGGAAATGGGTTTGATTTTAAAAAGCTACTGTTTCCTTTTATCACCCTAGGGTAAGCTGTGATGAGCTACATTACCCTGACAGGATGATCCATTGTCAAAGCACAAGCCACAAAGTACAGACTTTCTTTTGCTTGTTGACAAAGAGTTTTGCCTTGGAAGTCACTCAGAGTCAGGGTAGCATCAGATTTATGTTGCTTCAGAGCCCTATGACTTTGTTCAAAATTCTTAACCTCCATAAAGTGGTAATGACATGGACTATCTTGCATTAATATTAAAGTATATAATGCATGTTAAGTATTTAGCACAGTGATTTTTGCTCCTAACAAATATTAGTTTCTAATACTGTCTCTATCACTATCTATGACTTCCAAACACCTAAATTATTAACCACTGTCTTCTGACTCATTTTCATGTAATGGCCTCATCCTATATGATGTCAATAATTAAGGTTATTTTACATGGAGCATTTGAAAGCATATCTAATTAATTAAAAGACTTTTTTTTTTATAAAAGAAAACTCTTTGCTACATTTACTTGGACCGTTTTCAGCAAAAATTAAACCTTGAAATGCAATTAGATAAAATAATACTCCATTTAGGAAATTCTTAGTTTTAGTTTTGAAATGTTACCCAACATGCCCAACAGTGCACAATCTCATCAACTGAGCTAGAGAGACCATTCACTGAAACAGCTGACTTGGAAACACACCATTATTCAATATCTACTTTGATATCAGTGTTACCTGAAGCTGTTACGGAAATATTAATGATTTTCCTTAGTAAATGTGTAGTTCTTACCCATCTTAGGTTTCCCGAAGTGTGGAAGGCATCACAAGGTCAAACTTTAAGGTCAAGGCATCTCGTCCTAGAGTTACACCCAGTGGCAGTACCTACCTGAAATATTTCCTAAATAAAAGCTTAGATGTGGAAATGAATCTTAGAAGCCTTACAAAGCTTACCTGATTGAACCCTTGAGAAAAATGGCAACTATTAATAGGAAGGGAAAAGGAGAGAGAGAGAGAGAGAGAAAATGTATGGTTTTCTGTGTGTGTGTGTCTTTTTCCAGAAGTTAGTTTTATACACTGGAAGGCATCAATATCTGAGACCATCACTCAAATCACCTGGGATTCTTGATGTGTTTATTCTCAGTAAAATGGATTGTGTATCCTGTGGTGATGGTGTAATCCTGGTAACCATACTACCATAGTCACTTGAGAGTACCTTATTTCCCCTTGGCTGATGGAAAATAAAATAAAGCACTGGTGTCCCGGAATGCTTTCGAAAGAATTAAATAAGCATGCAATTAGAACTGATAACATTTGGACCTAAGTCAACTCATTATCTTCTGGGCTACACCCCTTCCACAGGCTGTAACTAGTTTTAATATCCCACTGTGGAGTCTGCCAACACTTTAAAGACTTTATAAGAGTTTAGGCAAAGAGGCCAGGCTTTCTTGGAGTACAAAGACAATGTCTACCAACTTTTCTACCAAGAGTAAATTCACATTGATTATTAGGAGCAGTTCGACACAAAATACAGCAGTGAAAAATAAGCAAATAAACATAAAAAATACTCAATATAGTTTTCAAAATCATAGTAGGAAATAAAATCAACTTTAAAGTGAAAGTAAGCTGGGGACAGGAGTCAGTACGAGAGCAAACAGCAGCAAGGCATTCACAATAGAGGTACAGGCAGAAAAGTAAAAGCAAATAAAAAGAGCCACTGTTAGAAAACAAAGAAAGAAATCATTTCCATATAGGCAAAAAAATTAAAACGATTACCGTATTAATTTATAGTCAACTTACATCAACAAATTGCCCGCATGTTTTTTGGCATGAAAGAAAAATTTACAAAAGAAAGTTGTGTAAGAATGCTCTTGGACAAGTAGAATTGCCACATTCTTGTAACTTGCTTTTTTTTTGTTGTCATTACTTAAAAAACTTTTGAGCAAAATGTCTAATTTTTCAAATAGAATAATTTACAACAGAGGATGATACAGGGAGGTGACAACACATACATCCACACCACATAACATGAAAAGAAAAAAAAAATCTGCACTTCAGGAAAGTTTTACTTGAGGGGGCTTGGGACGGCATTGAATTGAATTTACAATAATTCCAATTGTTATGATTGAAAAATGAAAAAAACTGTGTACTTTTATAATTTGCTTTTTTTTAAAAAAAAAAGTCTGTTTCTAAAGGGGTTTGATTGAATTTCTGCATTAGTATAGATTTTCAGATATATATTTAAATATTTTGCCCTTTTGACAAATTTTAGACTTTCAAAGGGAATGGATGACAGCACATAAATTTTAACAATGCTAAAGAAAGGGGGAGTATGGGAAGGGAAGATGCAGAGAGGGGCGGGCGGCATCTATGAGTGTACTACACAGGAGATGAAGATGATGGGAGTAAAAGTGTAAGTGAGTCGCCATGTCCATGTAAGGGCGGCGCGGAGTGATCTAGCTGCATTAGAGCTTCTGGCTGTAAGGAAGGGATGGGCAATATACAAAAACAAATGAGCCTACACATGCCCATCTACGGAAATAAAGAACAGAACTCTAACACTGACAATCTCACACACCCTAAGCTGCAACTTCTTCAACATGCAATTACTCCAAATATCATTACAGTTTCATCAAAGTTTTATAAATTATACATTCAGTTTAATGTTTTCCTACTAATAGTAGCCAAATAGATCAAATAATAATAATACCAATAATCATGATCAAAAGCAAAAACAAGGGGACTAGATATAGGCATTCAAGTTGAACAACTTCACCGGCAGCGACACAGCCCCATCTGTATCGTGGGTATTGCTTTATTGGGGGAGGAGCAGTTTAGAGAGCTTCACAGGTGGTTCAAAGGGGATTCCGCATAGGGCACACCCACGCTGGGTTGCTAACTGCATTCCTATAGGGAAGTGGGACTATCCGCATGGCATCACCCATCTTCCCCAAGCCAGCCATACTACATGAGCCCACTGTAACTGGAAAGATGGGGCTGTGTGGATTCTGCAGCTGAAGTTGTTCCACATTTAAAGAGGGAGTAGGGGGAAATTGCATGAAACAATTCATAACTTTTTCTCATAATTTTGGATAAAAATCTAAAGATCTAGCAATTCAAGAGAAACATTGATATATATAAATATAATACAAAAAGCACTTAATTCTCAAACAAGGGAGAAAAGTAAAAAAAAAATTAAAGCAAAATAGAACTTAACACACTCTCAGAGATGAACAACCAGATGCACACTCTGCAAAGGCACAGACAGAGCCGCCTGGGGACACGTTATTTTGCTTCACTTTTTCTGGCTTGTTGATTCCCCTTTTTGGTGATTGTCAAAATTAAAAACAAATTTTGATTTTTTTTTTCAAGAACAATGATGAATTTTTTTATTTCATAAAAATAAAAAGGGCGTGCAGTCTGGATGTACGTCATAAGTAGACATTTACAAGGGAAGAAAGTGGCTAGACTGATAAATGCGTTATTGTCTATGCTCTTTTAACTGGAAAAAGGTTAACTACTGAACACATGCTTAAAGTAAGTTGCATTTAGGGAAATTAGGAAAACAGAATGACAAGCTAGGGTTAGGGAAGGTCAGCAGGACAAAAATCACTTTGGGACTGGGAGGAAGGTATTGTGTTTTGCTTCATGCCTTTCCAGTAGCAGGGAAGGACATCTCAGTTATTAGGAAACTGTATGTGTGTGGTGGGCACTCAAAAGACGTCTGAAGTGGCAGACATGGAGATTACAATAGCTATGAGTCTACCGGTTGTACTGTAGGAAACGTATCCCGTATTATGTCAGAGACTTAGAAGGTGCATTTCTCAGAGATAGAGAGATGATAATTAAGAGTGTTCTTGGGTTTCACCAAAGTGACAAGTCATCATTGATGATAACATGGTATTACAAGGAGCCTCATACATGGAGGAATAGCCAGTATATTTTAAAGTAATGGTGGCCATCCCCCTCTGCACTCCAAAGAGCACAGTAACTGTAAACCATAAAATCCAGAAATGAGTATGGATTATTAAGAGCCTATTAGGGTGTTCTGTGCCAGTCATGGAGAGACCGTTGTAGGAAACAGAATGCTTCATTCAATCTGTGCTGAGAAAGAAGTGTGTACAGAGAGGGAGATACTGAAAAAAAGACATGGGGAAGGAGTTTTTAGAAATGGCCTCAGCCTCTACTGGAAGAGATCGCTTGAATTAAATTGACTACTACATCCCTGTGAGAACACTAGTGGTCAGCCAAGGGCTGGGAAACCCAGGTAGGCAAACCACAAAGGCAAGACACTTGAGAACACCTGTTTCTGCATGCCAATTCCAACTACCCCTAAGAACTCTATTGGGTGACTGACAAATAGCATGAATTTGGAGAAAGATTCTGAATTTTGCCCCTGCTGGGACGCCCCTTTTATTATTTTATTTTTTTGAAATAATTACAGTAATGTGTCCCCATGGTTCAGTCCGTACCAAGATTTTTAGTCTCTGGTTTAATAATGTTAATCGTTATTCTGGGAACTTCACAAAGGGTAGCTGGAAAGTTTTAGGAGACAGAAGACATCCCAGTCGTGTCGAGGCAGAAACCCTTGTTGCCATTGCTTTTCTTTTCTTTCTTTTTTTTTTTTTTTAAGGAATTTAAGATCGAATTATATTGTATGGAAACAGCCTATAAATGCTCCTATGGTCTCACAAGGCATCAGATGACTTCTGTAGAGCAAAGTTAGTGTTGATGATGCACACAGGGATGCTCTTTGTTTCACAGAAAACAGTAGGAAACATAACTCCCCTGAGAGCTAGAGTAAGACGCTTCGAGGCGTACCTACTCCCCCATAACGGGAGCTGTTCTTAGGAAGATTAACATTTTGAGCCTCTTAAGGTTTCTGCTGAGTACGTATTTCAAAATTACCTGTTGTAAAACTCTTAGAAGTAGACCACCACTTGAATTCTGGAAAGCACTGCTTTAAACAACTGAACATCACCAAGTTGACACTTTGCAAATAACTTACGTATTTTTTAAAAATCCATGGAAGCACTAGTTTCAATTAAAGCCAACACAGCCTGAATGTAGTGCATTTATGAGTATTTTTACAATGTAAGTCCATTAGGTTACATACACAAAGCTTGTATGGTCTCTTAAAATATAAAATCAAAATGTTAATAGTTCATCATCATGTCACAGCTTCATTCTCATCATTAATTATAATTTTCATGAACTTCATGAGCATATATCTATACAGGGAATTAGGAATGCACTAGACTTATGGTTGTCATTGAGAGAGACACAATTTGGTAAGAAATAGCATATTTCCATATAGCCATTTTTATCCCATCACATCATAATAGCCTTGTCTGAATGTAAAATCAATCTTTATAAAACATGAAATGCAATAAGTAGAATTACACTGTTCAAAATTCATCTTCAGGGGTTGACTTGTTTTGAGGAAATAATTTTGCAAACTATTTGGGGTTAAGCTTGAAAAGCCCAAACAATTTCAATATCTGCGGGAAAATGGGTCCTGCTTGCTAGCCGACATTGTCTTCAGTTGTGTAAGAAAGGTCAAGAGCAAGGCCCAAATGAATTAATCTGCATAACAATAAGTATTTTATATTTCTCAGGGAAAATCTCAGTTGACAATGGGAGAGGGCACCATCTCAAGAGTCAGTTGAGGAAAGACTGGACAAGTTACAAACAGGGAAGCTAAGGAAGGAATTGGGAGAACAAACACTTGATCAGGATTTTTAATATTTCTGCAAGAGATATCTGTCCCCCTTAGCAAGTGTACAAGTGCATTTTCACTGATGGATTGCATGTGTCCCTAAGGTGAAGGGAAGGGTTCTTCTGCAAGAACCAGGGGTTCCGTTCTGCAGCAGTTTGGTTTGCAGTGAGGAAGGAGCCTCTGGGGTTGTGAGGATAAGTGAGTTCTGTATCTCTGAGGGCACTTCAAAAAGTTTATGGAGAATAGACCCGAGTTTGTTTCAGTGCAAATGAGTTGAAATCCCTTTGTCATTTCTGCATGACAATGTATTGTCAATGAGCATTCTGAAAAGCCCTCATACTTTGGCTTCTCACAGCCTCTTCCCCAGACATATGGCTGTTCAGAGAAGAGGAGAAGGAACCTATGTGTTTGTAAATTTAAAGAATAATAATTTTCTTTGCTGACTACAGATAACCCAAGTCACAAGTTCAGATACTGTGTCCCAACTCAGTTTCCAGACCTAATTACAAAACTGAAATCTCAAGATGGAAAAGAGAGCCCAGGACATGATCAATCTCCAGGTGTAGCAGTGCTTCTGTATTAATGATTTGTTTGCCCAATGCACACTGATTTTTTCAAGTGTCAGAAGGTGAATAAGAATGCATGAAATATTATAAAGGGCACTATTAGATTTTAAACACTGGTAAAACAGAATCGTTCAATCTGGAAGGACTTGAAGTCAGTGGTTTGATTCCCAAGCATTAACTTGGGTCTGTAATTTTATCTTAAGGTCTCCATCCTTCTTTGTGCCCATATTATCCCCTGTATGGATTGCTAATGGAATTGAAATACCTGTCAATTGCACTTAATTTATTTTTTTGTCTCAACTACACCCCAAGAAACTTTAAGAAAGGATAGTAAGAGCTGGAATCTGGTAATCATTACAATGAGTGCTGAATGAACAAATATACTGAATTGCTTACATTTTTACCCCAGTGCTAGCCTACAGCTTTCATTAAGGCATTACAATCACACAGGGCTACAATGACTCACCTTGAGCCAGAAGCCTCTTAGCAGGAAAGAATTGTATGGTTAGGAGACCTAAGTTTCTGGTATTCATTGTACAGTGCAGTTGCTTGCTAAGATGTTGAACAGATCTGTTAATCCCTTTGAGTTTTGTTTCCTCATGTGTCCTATGGAGACGATAACTCTGGTCAACTAACCTACCTCACAGGGTAGGTTTGCATATCAAATGAGATTTGGAGTGTGAAAGGGCTTTTAGATTCTAAAAGGCTATGCTAATGTTTGTTACTTTGGTCTTCCAAGACTAATAGCCATTTCAGATTCAACACAGTAGGCTGAGTCCCAGGCAATTGAAATCAGCTGTATTTCCAGTGGGATCAACTTGGAGTATCTGCTTTAGCAGCAGGCAAATAAGAATACCTTCCATCCCCAATATTAACCCAAATCGTCCTTATTACTACTTTCCAATCCCTATCCGCATCCCTAATGATGCTAACTTCCTAAATGTTGAATACTGCAATATCACTGCATTCTTCTGGTGGGTTTTTCGGACATGTTTCCGTAAGAATTTATTCATTCTGTGGTGAGAAAACAGACCTGGGTGGGGAGGGGAGCAGTTTCTTCCTTCTACATATCAAACTCTGTGATTTGAGACTTTTCCTGCACCTCAACCCATGGAGTCTGACTTTTCTCATTTATAGAATACTGAAGACTTATGTCCTAACTCATAAATGCATGTCATATGTTAGAACACTTTGGAAACTATAAAATATTCAACTAAAAGGTAAAAAGTTGCCACTAGCTACATTCTACAAGCTTAGCACTGCTCTGTGTTACAAAAGAGACCAAAGGGAATGTTGGCAGAGGGGAAAAATCTCAGTAAATCCCTTGGAAACACATAGCCAGAGGACATTAGAACTGTGGAGTAGGACAAGGACGTGAGTGAACACAGGACGAAGGCAGTGTTTCAGTTCCTTTCTCCCGAAAGTGTTCATTCTAACTAAGATGCACGAAAGGGAGAACCTACAGGAATTACCGTTCTTCTCTTTTTGTTTTAATGCTAATCAGGTATCAGTGTTAGAAAGCTTTCCTTCACCAAGGGTAATTAGAAGATCCTGGATGCACAGGTTGAATCTTTATGCCTTTACTTTAAAAATGTCTACTGCATAGGAGATCACGCTGTTGGTCTTCAGTACCCATGTGTAACAGTGTGTGACACTTGAGTTGTGTTTTATGATGTAAATAGCTGTCCTTGCTGAACCTTATTTCTTTAATCAGAGAGACTGTCTTCATAGTGTTCAAAGCTGTCGAAAATTTCCTGTAAAATGTGCATTAGGAAAAGGTAATGCATGGATTTCAAATTTCTTGCATCAATAGAAATTTACCTTTAAAGTCAAAGGACATAATATAGCACCTATGTAGTAGGAATAAGCCTAAAGATCTAAAGTCCTCAACATGAGGACTTTTAGATGGTTTGTTAAATGAGCAGCTATCAGGGCTTCTCTCCACAGGGGAAAATAAATGGAAAACTAGGTGGGATAATGGATATGTTCATTTGTCTGACTATAGTAACCATCTTACTATTTATCATATCTCATAACATCATTCTGTATACTATAAATTAAAAGTCAGATCAACTAATCCCGTGTACTCTGCCTGCTGCTCTAGTATCAACACCAAGGTCTCCTTCTGACCCCAGTATCTCTGGTTCTGGCCATATTCAGTACCTTGCCTTCCAGGAAAATGTCTTCCCTTGTTCGTTGCCAGGGTAGTCCCTTGAAGAGATTAGGTATAATCTATAGTTTCATTCCTTAAAGAGCCTGCCATGACTTCCATAGGAAAGTAGCTACATGCTGATTAACTGACCATCCCCTGGGGAATCCCTGCAGTGTTCATCAGCTGACTCCTTCCCATGTCTTTGCTTATTCCTCTCCTTGAGAGGACAAACTTTTATCTTGTTGCCCACTGTCCTCAGAGCACAGAGGAGTATTGCCGAGAGAAGGGATTATGCCCTCGATAAACTGAAGACGCCTTGGCAGGGGAGGCCCCTAGATTCTCTTACACAGTCCTGTGTAGCTCCTAGTATGGTGCTTGGCACACACAAGGCACTGACTAAACGTTTTGTAAATAGACTAAACTATTGAAGCCCTGATTTCTCTATTTGGTTTTCTTCTCTTTGACCCTACTGTAAGCCAGATGGGATTTCTCTGAGTTCCAGTGCAAACTGGATCTCTGCATCCACATTTCGTTTTCAAAAAGAAGACTTCTGAAAACTACATCAGTATCTAATTCATTCTCACTTTATAAACTGGAACTAGAATGTGTGTTGGAAACCCAGGCTATCCTTTGCTGGGGATGAGATAGAGTATTGTTGATTATCTTGAGGGAAGGAGAGAAGAAGCCAACAATATTACTAATGGGGAGAATGGTGACAAGGACTGTGAAACAGTACTTGTTTAGCTTTGCCTGCTGTAACCCTGCACCTGCAGACAGTACAACTGGGCAGAAGTGGGACCCTTATCCTGAACTGGTGCCCTGACACTTAGTGATGATGTTTACAGGTTACTATGTTATTCAAGGTTTATTTTGCATCTGTTTTCAATAAGAACTCATGTATTCTATCATTAGGACCAAAATTTTGACTGTGCTATTCATATTGAGATTTCTCTGGATGGTAGCAGCTGGGTTTTCTAACCTACTCCCTCTTCTCAGTGTGGACCTTAAGTTCTCTAAGTTACCCATAGGAAATACAGGAGTTTGATCTCATACTATAATAAACCTCTACAAATTTCAGCAACATTCTCTCTTACTCTAAAATCTGTATTCATTGCAAGGAATGTACAGTGCTCATAAAACCAATACTACCAAAGTGTATTTAGAGTCAATTGGTTAATTATAGAAAGATAGTGCTGGGCAAAGAGAATGGAAAAGCTTACCCCGGACTCAAACACTTGACATTGGGATAATATATTATGACTATACAGCTTCGATTTCATGTAACCTGAGCCTCAAGCATCTGGCTGGCTTACAAGACAGGAGTGGACTGCAGAAAGTCTAGGTGGGCAAGATGCACAACCTAAGCTTATTTTTAAGTTTGTAAATGGAACTACTGTGAGCTGGGAAAATTTCTAGTAATTTCAAAAGCTCAATAAATATGGACCTCTATATTAGTTAGAATAGGAACTTAGGAGCAAATGTGCAAGATCAAGGAGTAGACAGCAATTTTCTGGTAAATAGGAATAAAGAGGAAACATATAATTAGGCATAAATTATAATTATATAGTTAAAACACTAAGTAACCAGAAGACTCCTTCTGAAAGGAAATGTTCTTAAGAGTATGAAGAACTTGTTCTCTGCAAGATGTCGTGTTAAGTCCTTCATAGATTTCATTTAATTGAATTATTACAACTGCATTGCTAAACTTGGACTCAAAAAAGCAGCATGCCTGAAATTATATAACTAAGAAGTTAAGTAGCTAAGACTGTACCTAGTTGTATATGAGGGTTATCTCTAACAATGGAATTAAGGGAATGGAATTAAGTTTTTTGTTGGCAAAAAAAGAGGAGCAGGTGTTGCGATGCAGTAGATTGAGCTACCATTTCATAGACGACATCCCATATGGGAGTGGTAGTTCGTGTCCCAACCGTTCTTCCAATCTAGCTCACAACTCATGCTGGGAAGCCAGTAAATGATGGTTTAAGTCCATAGGCCTAGCTACCCATATGGAGTTCTTTTCTGTTGGCTGTTGCCTTAGCAGATCGGAAACCAGAATGGAGTCATTTGTGCTACGTGACATAATCAAATTCAACTTTACAACAAGCTATTTCTCCCTAAAAAAAAAAAAAATTCATGGCAATCAATCAAAATGGGCGACGGGCACAGTTTAACTGAGTCTATAAAAAACACAGCATTGAAAGGATCCTTCCACTTTTTGCACCCTCTACTTTTAAAGTCAACCTCTGCTTAGCTCATTGGAACACTCATTCTGTAACCCAATTCTAGAATCACAGAAATAGCCAAAACATCTTTACATTGACTTGTTTTGTTTTTTGTCTTTTGATAATCCCAAACTGGTAAACCCCAGTAGTCATTCGAAGGCACTGAGAAAAAAAAAATGACTACTTCTGTACAGGCAGTGTTGCTAGCACAGCAGTCAGAACACACTAGGAGTAGCTTCCTACTAAGTCCACAGAAACCACTAAACCAATCCTGTCTACCATCAGAGTGGCATGGTGTTTGGACAACACAGCAGCATGGCTCCAGATTTGTTATACAAAGGAAAGGGAAAGAGTTACAAGTATCTTTGAAGACAGAAAGGCCAGACACTATCAGGTCATTAGTAGTCTCCCCCAGCCCAGCTGAAGGTCCTATTTCCTCAATGAGGTCTTCAGTATTAGGTTACTATTAAACAGATGCTGACATTTTGTACGTGCTGTTGTGAACAGATCTGTTACTCGAGTGTTAAGATTGCCTAACACACATGCTGACCCTAGCAGGTGTCTATTCAAAGAATTTGGGAAACATGGATGGTTTAATTTTTAGCAGTTGTATCACATTAAGAAGGTCAGCATGCTGAGAGCCTGAAGCCCACGTGCAATCTGTATCTTTCTGCATATGGTCAATGTGGTCACACGCAGTCATTCCCTATTAGAATGCTCATTCCTCTTTCTTGGTACTATTCCACAGTAACGTTTCTCCCAATTGCTATTAGCCAGAAGGACATTTTTTTTTTTTTCAAATAGATGGATATATTGAAAGCTGAAACAAAGTATTATGCATTGGCCTTGTGAAATCATGTGACTTAAGTCACTCTTAGATAACTTAAAAAATCAGTTTTTTAAATAAATATTTCAGTACAACTGTTAGTGTTCATGTAAATAGTTTACTTGAGGTGGTGGGGTTGGTAGCATCGTGGCATAGCAGCTTAAGCCTCTTCCTGCAACTCCTGCATTCCACAGGAGTGCTGTTTCGAGTCCCTGCTGCTCCATGTCTGGCCCAGCACCCTGCTAGTGCCTGTGGGAAAGCATCGGAAAATAGCCCAAGTGCTTGGGCCCTAGCACCCATGTGCGAGACCTGAAAGGAGCTCCTGGCTCTTGGCTTCCACCTGGCTCAGCCCCAGCCATTGTGGCCATTTAGGGAGTGAACTAGTAGATGGAGGATTCTCTCTTTCTCTCTGGAACTCTGCCTTTCAAGTTAAAAAAAATTTTTTTTAAAAATTGTTTGCTAGGCTGATTTTTTTTCTTGGGTACAGCATATTACAACTAAATAATTGTTGGAAAAATTAGAAGGCATTTTTTCCAGTGGGACTATATTTTAGATTCAAATCAAGAGAAAAAGATATGCATACAGAACTCAAATGTTGGAAAATGTCTACACATTTTGGTTTTTAACCTGCCTTCAAAACTGAAGGCTTTTGATTAACCCACCATCCTGAGGACTTATTTCTTTGGTTTAGAGGAAAGAAATCAAAAGTAAGGACTAAACTATGTGGAAGGTTCCAGAGAAAAATTCTCCCAGTTATTTTTACAGCAAATGACATCACAGAACTTTTAACTATAAAAAGAATTACTGTGTAAAGCAATGCCGTTGACTAGCAGTGGCCGAAAGGAAAACCCACGCAGGGGGAAAAGATGGGACATCTCTTCAATACATTTCCACAGAAACCAGGAAGATGAGTGAACCTGGATGCTGCTGGGTTTCTGCCCCCCCAGGTTTTACTTCTCCTAACAAGCACAGCTTCCAGAGAACACATGACATTAGGACACAGGCCACAGGAGCAATCTGACTTACAGGTTATCAAGCGAGTGACGTAAAATCTCTGTGCCCCATTTTAGATGTATGCACAACATAAGGGTTGGATAAGATGATTTCTTAGAAAAAAAAACAGTGACTTGAAGGCAAGTATTGCTAATGAATGGAACTCAAAACTATTTGCAAATCAGGATTACCAGGTTCTGGATATTTTGAATGAATTGTGGTCCTTTTCCTTAACACTCAATCTGTATATTAATGGATGCATCGATTGATTCTCTTTTGACTGAATCATTAGCAGCACCAGTACTGTGGCACAGAAGATTAAGCTGCTGCCTGCAGCGCCAAGCCAGTTCTAGTCCCAGTTGCTCTGCTTCCAGTCCTATCCCTGCTGGTGCACCTGGGAAAGCCGCAGAAGCTGGCCCAAGTGCTTGGCCCTGCATCCATGTTGGAGACCGAGGGGAAGCTCCTACATCTTGGCTTTGGATTGGCCCAGCTCCAGCCGTTGTGGCCATTTGTGGAGTGAACTGGTGGATACATGATCTCTCCTTCTCTCTCTCCCTGTAACTCTGGATTTCAAATAAAATAATACTAATAAAATAATTAATGATTGGATAAGCATTTTTTCAATCCTTTAAAAATGCTTATTTTTTCATTCTCTTTGGAAGGCAGAGATAAAGAGAATGGGATTTTCTATTTTTTGGTTTACTTCCCAAAGGACCAAAACAGCTGTAGCTGGGGCAAGCGGAAACTGGGAGCTTGATCCAGAATCTCACCTGGATGGCAGGGACTCAGGCGGTTGAGTCATATCTCCTGCCTCAAGGACGCACATTATTAGGAAGTTACATTTGGCCGTGGAGCAGTCAGGACTTGAACCGGCACTCGGATACGGATGCAGGTGTTCCACATGGCATCTAAATTTGCTGTACCAAATGCCCGCCCCTAGTTAAGCATTTTATAAGACCTCTACCTTGGCATCCCTTAGAAGGAACGTTTGATCATTTCAGTTTCTTGCAGTGAGATGACAAAATCCTACAACACTGCAGATTGCTAATGGTATTGCCTTGGAGATATGGGACACTGAGCTGAGAAGTAAGGTGTCTAGTATCCTAAGGATGAGGATTTTAAAGTCGGTTCACCACTGTGCAAATCAGCCAGTGCGAGTGCCCCATTTGAACATCAGGTAGCAAAAGAACTGTGGCTCAAAAGAAGACAACACAGGTGCTAGTGGGTCAGGGATTTTGGGGGTTTTGTGTATGTCTTTAAAGTGCTATGTAAACAGTGGCCAATTTTCAATTTAGTTTGAGCACAAATAACTTTGATTGCTTTGGAAAGCTCTACTCTATTCTGTACTGTGCTAATGTTCAGATACTCATAGATGAGGGTCCTGGGAGCCCTTGATCCAAGGTGTTCAGAGACCACATGGCAACAATTACCCATCTGTACTCTGAAGCTGCAAACAGCTCTTCCACTGTTGGAGAACTCCTATTATGATGGTGGCCAAACAAAAGAAACCTACAAAGATTTCAAAAAGCATAGTTTGGAAGCACCACGGGTAGCTTTGTGTCATGCAGCCTAGTTTGATTTGTCATCTAGAATAGTGAATGGAACTTTCTCATCAGCCCAGCTCTGCACTAAAAGTACAACATTTCCAACCTGAAGAGGGCATGTGGTTTTAATGACCTTGAAGTGCACTGACTGTCACTTGGCAAGTTTCAATGAGTCCCATTTAGGGCTGACCTTCTAGTCTTCAACAGTGAGCTGGTGTCTTCAAGAGACCCAGCAGAAAAGGTATACTGAGGTATGAAAACAGAAGCTGTGGATTACATATGGTACCTTCCCTATCATTAGCCAATAGGTTTTTCCAGTCCACAGAACCACCCCAAGTCTCTGAACTGCTAGTAGCGTCCCGTTGAACTTTGCTAGACAACATACCTTATTGCAACAGAGCAGTGAAAACTTGGAACCAGCTGCCAAAAACTCAGTTCTGTTACAAACTTCCTAGTGTTCACAACACTGATTCGCTGTTAAACTAGGCCATTCACCCCATGTCAGAATTTAAATTACATCCTCTAACAGTGGCCAAGTCTGATACAGTGATGTTTTCCTGATATCACTGTCAAATTTCTTCTGTGACTATCATGATTAGCACCTCACAAATCCTGTGCGAGGGATGTAGTTTGGTGTTAAAATTTTAACTGCCCAAACTTGGAGCAAATCTTGAACCACTTTGCTTATGAAGAAAAACTTCAACCCCAGGTCAATGGCCACATTCCAATAGGAATAATGATGTAAGTTGTCACAGATTTATTCCATACAGTCTGTCAATTGTGTAATCTGGAATGTAGCTTCTTTTCTTCCTACACACCACATTTCCATTTTCTGGAAGCAAAGATGGCAAACACAGGGGCTCCCTGTGAACGAGGTGAGCCATATATCTTAAAATGGAGGCAAAAAAAGAAATGAAAATGCTGAGTTTTATTCAAAGTTAAAAATTGTTTTTGAGTAATATACAATAATACACATTTCCATGATGCTCGGGGTAGTTGTTTTTAAGTTATCATTGTGTAGGCTCACGAATCAAAGTGGCAATTGCACAGGGCGGAATCTAAAGAGGGACATATTTTGGTAAAAAAAAAAAAATGATCTTCATGGACAGCATGATGCTTTAAAATATGTACATTTTTTAGGATTACATAATGGAGCCAATTAACATAGGCAATTGCACACTGCATTTATGTGTGTGTGTGAGTGTGTGGTGCAAACACTGACTCAGTGATTTTCAAAATAGATTGTTATTTCCTTAGTTACTGTGCTGTGCAGTAATAGATCTCTTGAACATAGTGAAATATATCAGACACAGAAAGATAAAGACCACATGCCCCCCTCCCCACTTCTATGTAGAATCATAAAAAGCTGAACTCAAAGTAGAGAGGAGTAAAATTGTGTTTACCGGAGGTTGTAGGCTGGGGATTTGGGGAGGTATTGTGCATGAATGCAGATGTTTCTGGTTTAGGTGTGACTTTAGTGTCAATGATTTACTATTAACTTAGCAAACTAGTCTTGGCAAGTATTTCACTAAGCACTTCTGTGTCATGTGCAATGTTAGGGTCTTTCCCAGAACACAAGAACAGATACGTTATGTATCTCCTGCATGTATATGCGTATCATATGTTTAGCAATGATATTTTTGCATGTTGTGTCTTTAGCTGTGAAGCAAAGGAGCACAGTACATATATACACATATATTATGTATATACTTCAGGCAATGGAACAAGTTATAGACATTTGGTGCAGATGTCTGCAAGCTGCATGGGATACCACAATCCCATATGGGAGTGCATAGTTTCTAGACCTAGCTGTCTTCCACATTTTAGCTACTGTACTGTAATGGCTCAAGCAGTTGAGTCCCTGTCACCCATGTGGGAGACCTAGATTAAATTTGTGGCTCCAGACCATATGTGGAGTGAGCTCTTTGAATCTCCACCTCTCAAGTGAATAAATGCTTGTTTAAAAAAAAAAAAAAAGGAAGTTTAAGAGTGAGGAGAACTAGGCCCCCTAGGAGAATCAGATGAGGCATCCCAACATACACATTGGGTAAATTTTTAGCAGTTCTAAGAGCAGTACTTGGAAATCCCTTATCTCAGATGACAGGAAGGTGGCAGAAACATACATAAGAGAAGGAAGAGATGGGCTCTAAGTAGGATGCTAGCAGTTTGTACTGGGTTTTGCTTTTCTACTGTAATATTTTCATCTCAGTAGTAGTAAGAAATCTTGGATTTCGGAGTTTTCTTTGTTGTGTTTCTTAAGGATGAAGAATATTTTATTAGTATTATTGACAGGGAAGGACAAACCATTTTGTTCATAAATTGCCAGCCCTCTGGATTGCCACTCAATTTAGATGGTGATTTGACACAGTGGGACTTCCACCACAAACACCTTGTGAATACGTAGGTGCTATGATGCACATGCTCCTCCATGTCTATTTTCTTGAGAGGGCCATCAGACCTATTTTCTCTGCTCACTTACACACAAGATGTTATTACTTGGCAGAAATGTCAGAATGGTAGCTCCAGATTGCAAAGAGTTTTGCACACCTGGGTTATTTTCATTCCAAAAGGTCCAATTAAATAATATTGTAATGCATTTGCATAATTATTCAATTTAGCTGCATGGCTGAGCTACCAATTTGAATCTTTAGACAAAAAACTGTTTGTCAATGAAGAGTTTTAAACTTTTGATCAGTTGGTACATTCAGAGATGATCTGCTCATAGATGGATAGATAAATACAGTTTTATTCAAGAATGACTTTGGTGAAGGTGAGCATTTAGGAGCTGCCTTTATATTAGGGTGGTATCTCAACTGTTAAAAAATAATGATCCCTGTTGAGAGTCTGAAGATTATGTGAAGAAAGTCAAGGTATTTTCTCCACGTACTCTGATGTAAAATTTTAGGACTGCATAATAAAAATAAGAAAATAATATCTATAAAACTGTCCTGTAAACTTTAGTTGTATATACCTATGAAGTAACTACAAAATAAAAGCAGCAAAAAGAATTCATTCCCATTATTACACATGTAGTTTGAGTCACTAAAATTTAATTCATTCTTTTACTATCTCTCATTATCTGAGTTAATATAAAAGGCTATTATTAAAAGTCAAGTCTAAAATTTGCCTTTAATGTAAAACACGTTTTATTCTAGCATAATGTGACTAGATATTGCTAAGTTTGATATTCATCAGCAATGGTAAAATGAACCCAACCTCAGGTGCAAATCTAATAGAACTGGATGTTAATTACTGTGATCCAAACAACTTATCGTTTCAGGCTTGTTTCTATTAGGAAAGATGTGTAAAGAATGTACGCTAATGGAAAAGTCTATTAGTTGCATGCATTCCAATTTTCTTTATCTGTATTAGTCACTGAATGGTAGGCCTCTCCTAGGCTTAATACTTTTTCATTGTTTCTTTTTATGTTTAGAAAATTGGTTTAAAACCATAAAATTATGACACAAGATTCAGTGGATGAATTAATATATTTTAATATGATAGTTTCATTTATAACTTTTATTCTGGAAGAAAATCAGTTTCCTTTCAAGAGTCAAACTGGGTGTCCATATTGGTAATGCCAGATCATATTAAGAGCAACTGTGGAAGGATTTTGTGTTTTTCATTTTTCTGTATGATTTTCAGCCCCACACTGATCCTGTGATGAGTGACCTGGATACCATTATTTAAATGCAGTTTCTCAGCCTCAATACTGTTGACATTTAGAGTGGGATAATTCTTTGTTGAGGAGTTTGTTCTGTGTACCATGGGATGGTTAACAACATTCATGGACTCCATTTACTAGATGGCATTAGCATCTCCCTACATGAGACAATCAAAATTACCTCCCAACATTGCCAAAAATCCTCTAGGGAAAAAGTCACTCTCAGTTTACTTTTTTAAAGGTAAAGATAATGTACCTCAGAGAATATAAGGCTCAACATCTTAACACAATGGAACCAGGGCCAGATCCATGCCTCTGATACCCAATTCTCCTCTGTTGCCAGAGGCCACAGTGAGCTTTAGGCCATACTCTATATTTTGATTCTAAAATTGTTCATGCTGAATCATGAATATATCCCTCATAATAACAGATAGTATGGCAATATCATTACTATAAATAAAAGGGAAGTAGCATACATGAACGTATTTGATAAATACTGAAGTATTCAGAATTTATTTACATAGCCGAGAGAATGAAAATCCTTAGAAGACATTTGGACAAAAATCACAGAAAATCTAAAAAGAAAAACCAGGAACAAAGTAGAAGGTGGACGTACTGCTGCCTTCAAGTGTCCAACTGCAGAACTCATCTTAAATAGTTTAAGTGCTTAACACAATTAGGCTGTTGCTGGCATCTTTCTGAAGCACTCCATTAGCTCATGCAGTGCAATGTTTCCAGCAGCCAAATTCTCAGGTTTTAGTCTCCTGTGAGTAGCAGACAGAGCCCATCCTCACTATTTCTCATTACAATGGAGCTATGCCTAACCAAAATAGCTTTATCCTGCAAATATATTAAGTGAGGCTGGAAAACTCGCCATGTTCGGTAAAATAAAAATAAAACCATGCATCACAGAATCCTGGCCCCTAAGTAATACATGGTTGCATTCTTAGTATTCACGATTGTAGAGGCCTGCCTGGAAGCATGGATGGGGCACAAGGACACCATGCACCCCTTTCCATTTGTCTGACAGAGGAAGCACTCTTCTCACTTTCCATTTGGGAGACAGCACAGCCTGACTGGGTTCTGCATATGACCAGTTCTCAGGGGCAAATATTCGCTGAAGAACTCCCAAGTAACTCAACCAGATTGTGCAACAGAGGAAAAAAAAATCATGATAGTTCTGCTAGTTCGATTAAAGTTCAGATAAAGCGTTAAGTTTTGAGTTCCTTTGAAGAGAATGAAATAGCTGGTGATAAAGCAAGCATTTTTCTTAAAATGCTCTCAACACCCTCAATTTCCCATTGAAGCTAGATATTTGCTTCATTTTTCTTTTTCTCATAATTCTCTGGTGGTCTCTATCTCTAATAGGACTATTGACCCATAAAGACCTCATATCAACACTTTCCTGAAATGGACTAGAACCTCCTAGGAGTTTATCTGTCAATTTAATACTTTTGTCTTAAAAAAAAAAAAAAAGAGCTATTCAGCCTCCTTTCTGTTTCATCGATCAATCTAAGAGAAATGAGAGACAGAACCCAATAGGGGTGGCTTGCAGCCGTGAACAATGCCTTGAACCACGTAATACACAACGTTCATGACAGTTGCCTGACAAGCTTCCTGACCAAGTCTCCTTTGTGGAGAACACGAGTTAGGAGGTAAGCAGTAGAGTACCTTGCTATAGTCCACTAAGACCCAGTGGAGAGATTACGGATTCAAAAGCTGGTTTTTAAAGATGGACAAGTTTTCTCCATTGCTATGTAAGTGAATAAGGCAACACTTCCTTTTCCTCATCCTAGCCAGGGCATTAGGGAAGGATGTGGGAAAACAGAGACCTTGGGTTTGTCCCTGACTTTCAACACGCTCCTTGTGCTCATCACCTCTATCCTTTTCTAGTTGTGTACTTATAAAAGAAGAGTCACATAAGATCCTCTGTTTCACAAAAGCCACATGCTGGGGCCTTGACTGAGGATGCTTCCAGAAAGACATTTGCCTCCATTCTAAAAGACAAGCATCTGTTCATTTTTCAAAGCAAGGGAGTAAGACCCCCCCCACCCTCTATCCATGCTCCAAATCAAGCTCCATGGCCATATAAAGGATCTTATATAAGTACAAATCACCTTTTATTATTCTAGAAACAGAACAAACTCTTATAGTTTCCCAAATTGTACTCTGCAAGCTTTAGAATCTCAAAGTTAAAATTAAGGTACTATAACAAAACAATTTTCCCTAGAACCTGATCCATTCTAAAATGATGCCACTTCTCCAGACAATTCATACCAGAGGCAAATAATCATTTCTGTGGTTACAATGGCCTTCTCCATCCTCCCATGCTGGGCCATTGTGAAGGAAGTGGCCATGATGCTCAGCGCATTTTTATAGCATGAATGAAACCTCATCACTCGTCCTTTAAATGCTCCGAGTGTGTTGCAGACAGATAAACAAGCCCTGCTCGGAGAGAGCACCTGAATTGGAAGCCGCCAAGCCTATCTTCTCCATTCAGAACAGGTTGAGGGAAGCAGTGCATTGTAATGAAATACGGTTAGCAGTGCTGGGGATGAGCAGGCACCTTCTTACTTCTACTTAATAATAAGGACCCTTAGATTCTGTGGCCACGGTAGACTGGGTATGTAGGTGATATTGTTACCATAACTCAATTCTGTTCCACTGAGAAAAGACTCACTAGCGATTTCTTTCTTTGATGAAAACTTGAGAGAAGTCAGTTATCCCTTAGAAATTAAAATTTTAAAAAACATGTAAGTAAGCTTCTGTGGCAGCATATTAACTGTGGTAGAGGTAATAAAACAATTCATAACTGTTTTAGGCTACTACTATTGATCTTGATAACTATTGGCTCCTGAGTCTATTAAATGTGTTTGCCACTTAACAAATCTAAAAAGGTAATAAATAGTAATCTTAGAAAATAAAATGAGTTGCAGAAGTGATGGATTTTTGGATGCAAAGAGTGACAGGAAGAAAACTTGCTGTTCCTCAATTGATGGAAAGAAGATCAAAGTTCAAACCAGCACTGGACATGCTATTAACAATACAAAACATGGCACAGAAAACTCTTGTGGTAGGGAAAGGCATTCTGGAAGACATTTCCTATTCAGTTTTGAGGAAAGCATTATTTGTTATTATCATTATTACTACTCTACAGCTCAAGTGCAAAGCATTTATTTGATCTATAGAAGCACAAATACAAAGTTTTTATTGTGGTGCACAATTTAATAAATCAGAACATGTAAAACCATTCCCTTCCAGATCATTAATCACACTGGGAAACGGTCAGCAACTTTACTGATACTGGCTGTTAAAAGCAACTGGGGTGAGGGGAAGGGAGGACTATATTTTCGTTAAGTGTGGACTTGTATTGTTTCTAATCAGACCGATGTTTGATTTCTACTTCTTCACCAATTCTTATCTGCAGTGCAACGTTGACACAGTTTATTTCTTAGAATTATTGTGTGACTGATTCACTGATAGATTCTGCAAGATGTAAAAAAAAATCCTAAAACTTGTATGCTTTCTTAAGTTAATTGTGTCTAGGCTGTAAAGATTTGAAGACATAATTCAGAATTGGACACAGAACTATAAATCATCCTCTAAGACTGAACACCGGGAGATGGCTTTAATGTTCCTCCCAGTGTATTCCCATCATCTTGGTATTGGTAGGAACTGTACCCAAAGTTTGGGTAGAATTTTAAAAAGCTAACATTCCCCCAATGAATGCATCTCATTCAGTACATCTTGACTATTCATAAAACCAAATCACTCTCATCTGTGTTCACCTACAGATGCAAAAGAACATCAAAGTCATTTAGTTCCTCCTTTAATACCCTGGACCAAACCCTGGGACATAGTTGCTGCTCTATGGACTCCCTCTCCGAGTTTGGCTGATGTCTAAAATTTCTTGCAAGTTCAAAAGTGTTTTACTTCCTTTTTCCCAGTAACTCCCAGTTACATTATTCAGCTCAAATGATCATTTTCACAGAGATGTCTATGCCTTTCCTCACTCCATTTCCGCCTTGAAGCATGACAGGACATGCTTCCTGGCACTGTGTGCCTTTGCTTCCTATCTCAAAGTTCATCACTGCATATTTGCTCCGCCATCTCTTTGGTCAAGTCTGTTTTCTCCGGTAAACCTGCTAGGGTCATCTCTGGTTTTGTTCGTTGAGGGTTTTCAGTCGACTCTCTCTTGGGTCCAGATGCTTCTTTTATGCTCAGCTTTGGAGAGTGGTTGTGAAACCATGAATTTAAAAGCATTCAGTTGGTCAGACTATCTTTTTTTTACAGGAAGAAACACAAACATAGCAAGTGCATTCCCATCATTTGCTGGCTTATTCTCCATAAGCCTGTGATGGCCCGAGCTGAAGTCAGGAGCTAAAAACTCAACCCAGGTCTTCCATAGGGATATCAGGGACCCAACTACGTCAGCCATCATGGCTGCCTCTCAGGGTTTGTAGCAGTGTGAAGCTGGGAAAAGAAGCGGTAGTGGGGCACTGAACCTCAGCTCATAGAAATGGGATGTGAGCTCCCAAGCACCATCTAGCTACATGCCCACTTCCAGATATGTTTTATCAATTCAGCTAATGAATGAACACAAAACCCCCCCCCATTCTTCTTTGCATGAGTTTTACTTAATTCTAAGAAAGAAAATCTTTCTTTGGTGCTCATGTACAGGATATATTCTGCTGTTTCCTTACCAGTCCATTTGGCACGTCATTAAAAAACTGACTCATTCTCATTGATCTGTGACCAGCAGAAGCAGGGAAGTAAAACAAAATAATACATCAGGAAAACTGTTCAAAAATTGCTGAGCTTGACAACAAAATGCAAAGATACCAGGTTGAAGAATGGAGTAGAAAAAAGAATCCCAAAGCCCATTAGATAAACACTGATAGACTTTGACTATGTGCTGTAGATGAGATTTTTTGAGAGCTACATTTCTAGCTTTTGATCATTATACTCTGATTTTGCTAGAGAAAGTCCTTCTTAGGAAATGCATACTGAGTTATTTCAAGGTATAGGGAGTGGAGCTTATAATGTACTCTCCAATGCTTGTGGGAGAAATAGATATGCATGTGCACAAAATCTCAAATGGCTCAGGTGTGTGTATGTGTGTTAGTGTGTACATGGACACACTGAAATACCTATAGATGGCCCCTGCTTTTGGATGGGGCTGACAATGGTGCAAACGTAAGTCACACTCAGTAGAAACTGAACTGTGGCTGGGCTAGCAATAGGCAGCATAAGCTTTCCTTGTTAGGCTGCAGAGCAGTAGCAAGTTATCTCAAGGCGAGAGAACCAGCACCCTGCAGTGTTGCTAAGTGTGGTGTTCAGTAGGTGAGGTGTAGTGAATGCATTTCTGGTGTTTGCTTTCAATGTCAGCCTGGAGGTATAAATCTCAGTAGTATGATTGTCTTCTACAAGATCATTAGTATATACTATCTTTTTTTTTTTTTTTTTTGACAGGAAGAGTTATATATAGAGAGAGACAGAGGAAAAGGTCTTCCTTTTCTGTTGGTTCACCCCCACAATGGCCACCACGGCTGGTGCGCTGCGTCAATCTAAAGCCAGGAGCCAGGTGCTTCTTCCTTGTCTCCCTTGTGGGTGCAGAGCCCAAGCACGTGGGCCATCCTCCACTGCCTTCCCGGGCCACAGCAGAGAGCTGGACTGGAAGAGGAGCAACTGGGACAGAATCCAGCACCCCAACTGGGACTAGAACCCAGGGTGCCAGTGCCGCAGGTGGAGGATTAGCCAAGTGAGCTGTGGCACCAGCCATATTATATACTATCTTAAGAACTATTCAATGACCATCCCATTCTAAGGTGAGGAAACATTTGTGGATGTGTCGAGCTCTAGAAAAGAGATACACACAAAGAGTCTTCAAAAAGGTCATGGAAAATGAGTGTTATGAAAAACTTAGGCACCAAAATAACTTTTGAAGCGCCCTTGCGTATATTCAATTAAAAAGGAAAGTGAAGCGCATTTGAAAGCACTGTGCTCTGCCATCAGGATGACAAGCGGGAGAGGATCAGGTATTTTCTGTGCAGCATTGTAAGATGCAGCCTTTCTCTAGGTCCCACGTTGTGCTTATTTTGCTTCTGTCCCTACTTCTACTTTTTTTTTTTTAAAGAAAGTATAATGAAGCAGTTATAAATAAAAGTTCACATGAATAGCAAGGGAAGAGATGAACAGCTTCTTACCAAGTTTAACAACAAATCAGCATACAATGCTGTTCCCAGACAGAATCCACCGGTCATTTGAAAACCAGAATTGCCGTGAAAAACAACAAAGTTATTTCACCAATTGGTATGATACAAGATACTATGTAATGGCATTTGGCAGTGGAGACAGAACCAAACACCTCAGTAAGCAAATAGTGTCATGACACAGTCAAGTGAGAATTTTTATGAGCACAAATAGAAATGTATGCCCCTTATAGAGGACTGACATTCTTAATACCTCAGTTATAGGGTCAATAATAAGTATATTATCAACTTTCCATTTACGTGTTTTGGACTAGGTATAGATGTTATCAAATAGGAACATTCTTAGATACAGAAAGCTAAGTTTCAAAAATCTTTTGTATGTACACCAGGGGCCAGCTTTCTGGTACAATGGGCAAAGCTGTGACACCGGCATCCGCTGTGGGCACATGTTGTAGACCTGGTTGTTCAACTTCAGATCCAGCTCCCTGCTAATGGCCTGGGAAAAGCAGCAGAAGATAGCACCACTCTTTTGGCCCCTGCCACCCACATGGGAAACCTGAATGAAGCTCCTGGCTTTGGCCTGGTCCAGTGTGAACCATTGTGGACATCTGGGGAGTGAACCAGAGGATGGAAGATCTCTCTCCCTCCCTCTGTGATTCTTTCAAATGAATAAATAAATATTCCTATGTATGTATATGTATAAATATATGTATATGAAGATACTGAGTTTTAACAATGTAATGAGTAGTTTCTGATAAACTCAAACACTAACAAAACCAAAGTGGACCCAGAAAACAAAACAGAAACCCAAAGTCTTAGCAAACTCTCTCCTCTCCCATCCAAGTACTAAGTAGGCACGACCCTTCTTAAGCTTCTGAAATCAGGTACTTTCAGGGTGAAATGGCCATAGACTCTCCCCTCTCTTAAATCTAAGTGTGGAGATCACTAATTGTGCAGATATTGAGAAATTCCTGCTTTTATCTTTAAACAACCCTGTCATTTGACTAGAATGCTCCAGGCATCACACTAGATCTTTTGTTGTACCAGCTGATTCTAAAAATACATTCAGGATGGAGACCTTTCTGTCTCCTCCAAAACTGCTTTTGTTGAGGTCTTTGTCCTTTTCCAACAAAGAAAAGGGTAAAGATACAGAGAACAACATCTGCTCAAAGACCTCACAGCTTCAGGGAAAGACCCATGCCACAAGACTCATGTGCAAAGAAATAGCAACCAACAAACTCCAATAAACTAAGTCATTGTAGCGACTTCAACATTCTCTTGGATTAAAAGTAATCAAATGCTTTAATTTGTTAATACAGTCTGTGAGGCTGTGGTGACAGATGTTCCCTGCATGGCACAGAGTCTCAATTAATCTACAGCTGGCTTAATTTTCTGGACAGAGGGGAAGGAGACAGAGAGTAATGTAAAGTTGGTTAATTACTCATGTGCAACTGTATTCTTTCATCTGGTTATTACTTCTAACAAGCAGATGCATGCATGAGGGAAGGTCAGGCATTGAAGGAATAAACAGAACCCACAGCCTGGGTTAAAGAATCAATCATATTGCCAATTGTCTGAGGCCACTTCATGTCCCATCTGCATTACTGGTTTCTAGGCAGCGATTTTAAACTTTCTGGTAATGGTTCATTTATAGGATACCTTGTGCCTACTGCTGCTAGATGACCACCTGGCTTATCCATGGACCATTTGCCAGTTGATAAACAGGTCTGACTTCAGGACACTAATGTGTGCTCAGCTGTATAAAACCCTACATATGATCTTCAACACCGCCTTTGAATTCTTCCAGCAAGTCTGCTTGAGAGCCTTACATCATCCTTCTTATGGGAAAGGAGGAATTCATTTAAAAAAAATTACTGGTCTAAGGGCAGATGAGTGGCCCAATAGTTAACAAACCCTTATTCCTTATCAGAGTGCTGACTCCCGATTCCACTTTCTGCAGATCCTGGTAGGCAGTGGTGACAGCTTCAGCAATGGAGCTCCTGACATCCCTGTGTGACACCTGGATTGAGTTTCTAAGTCCTGGCTTTGGGCCCACACGGGGGTTGCTGTGGGCATCTGAGGAGCAAGCCAGCAATCTGTCTCAGAAAAAAAAAATTACTGATCCAGCAGAGCACCTGTATGTAAATATTAACAAAATTTCTTGTGTTGGTGTCCTTATATTTTATATTTAAAAGTAACATATATCCTCTTTTCTGATAACAAATTAACATCTACTCTAAATAACCATTTTGGGCTATGAGTAACAAATTAAAAATTACCCTGTGGCTCCCACCTAGAGGTCACCACTCTTAAGTTGGTTCCTGGTAATATACTACCTATCCTTGACTCAGGACATCACACCTCCGATTTCTAATTAATAGTACACTTGCTGTGACTCCACATTAGACTATATAGAATGCAGTATTCTCAACATTTAGATTATATATTTGAGGAAGCCCAAGGTTATTTGTATAGATTACTCAAGAGAACAACAAAGCGAGAGGAAGTGGTAACTGTACATGGAAGTTGGTCAGTCGCCTTTGGACAAGATAACTTTTTTTTTTTTTTTTGGCTGAACTTCTCCTGATGCAGAGAGGGTTATATTAACTACAATGTGGGCTAATTCCCCCCTGCAAAGTGGCCTTCCTCTACTTTGCCATAAAGAGGAAGATGAGTAAAGAACTTGAGATTTAGCACAGAGATGTATTTTTATAGGTACAGATTATTCTTCAACACAGTCTCAGGACATTTCTACTTCTCTTTAAGTATATTCATGTTTATGAACTGACATTGGCCTTTTAATACCATTAATCTTGGATATTTTTATGAAATCCTTTTTTTGCTTTCATCTTATTTTCAGTGGGTTTAAAAAATATCTTAATACCTCCTGACTGATGCTTACAATTGTAACTTCCTAGGACCTCAATAAGATAAATGGCTTGGTCTTCAGTTCATCTTGATAAAGTTTAGACTTCGGTCTTCAAAATCTGCTACATGTAGTGTTGAATCATAGAGAATATTTTAAACCTCTTGTTTATTCTGGGTGTTGGTTTATTTCCACAAATGTTTAAAATTTCAAATAAAACTGTATGAAAGGACTAATGTACAGTGGACAGCTTTATTTTCTTAATAAAGGATGCTTTAAAGTGCAACAAACACTATTTTTGTAAAAGGCATTAATTTTAACCATAGGAAAACACAGGCTATGTGGGCAGAATACAAATAGGGCAGTTCTATAATTTTAATTTTGGGAAGACTCACTGCGTTATCTTTTTGCATTTCAGCATGCATCAGTGAAAGTTCTGTCATAGCCTCATGCTAGTTTGGATTTTAAATTTGGGAGTCAGTGCTGTCGTTTGCTTAGTAATCTTTCAATGGTGTAGGAAGTTGATAGCATCTACTTGTTGAATCTGTGCCACAATTCTAGTTGCCCTGAACTGCTTCATCGTTTGTCTATAAAGGACTGAGTTATAGAGTTGATCCCTAGCTAGGATAATGATACTCTCTTGTGTGGCAACAGTGACCAGTTCAAAGAAGATAATCAATTTTTTACACATTTTCTAATTTCTCTGTTGAACGGGTGCTATTTTACTTGAGAATGAAAACTTTTGAGTTTTTATTTTTTCTCTTGATGTACAATATCAGTAAAATGGCCTGGATTCTGGACACCTGGGATTTAATTGTAATTCTACTGGAAACTAGCTCAGGGACCGTGATCAAATAAGTACACCTGTAGAGGCCTCAGTTTTGTCACTTAGACTAAAACCATTACACTTATTTCTAAAATTCTTCAAGCACAGTGTTGTACAGCTATGCGAACTCTGAGGTCATAATTAAAAAAGAGAGAGATGAATAGCAGAATCTCAGCAGTATGAGGAGAAGCTGCTGTGCTTAGTTTGAAACTTAGAAGTCTCCAAGTGATGCCTAACTAGATATTTTACTGATAGCATATCCTTCCCAATTTATGAGAGGGTTACACCTACACAGAAATTTTAAAAGGGAATGAAAAATTCTGTGTCTCCTTGTGGCTTATTGAAGCTTCATAGGTCTCTTTTTATTTTAATGTTTTAAAACCTTTAATTTAAATGCCATTACATGAGAGCATAGGCTCTCTGGAATTCTCATTAGGCTACATTGTATCAAACCTGCAACAGGGCTCTGGGGCAGGAGGTTGCTCTGATGCTGTACTAGGAAAGCTAGTAGTGGTGAGATAGATACACAAACAACTAAGGCAGGTGATCATACCGTAAAATGCTAGGTTGCAGCGATCAGAATGGGAGAAAAAGCAGTTTGATTCTGTTAGGATGATCTGTCCTCTGATCACCAGTAGTGCTTAATTTACCCTAGCTTTCCTCTTCTCTTCTTCTATCTCTTTGATCTCATAGGCATATTGAAACACTAATACCAAATGAGGCTGTTTAAAAAGCCAACCCTTGCATTTCCTGCCCCTAAAGCCTCTCCCACAGGGTCTATCTTCCTTGACTCCTGGTATCATCACTTCATTTTGTTTCTTGTTTTCTTTGTAGTTCAAAACCTTACAACTCCAGGCACAATACCACAGCAGGAGGCCTTGCTAATAAAGAAAGCCCCTAATGTTACTACAAAGCATCATGGTTCTCAGAAGTTAATCTCCGGCTCCTTCTGGGGTTGGGATACATTAGGACTTGGCTTCAGAGTTTACCCAGTGTTCATGTATGTGTTGTTTCTATTTCTTAGCCATAGATTTCTAATGTGAAGGGGCTAAAGAGACTGAGCATCAATTTATGAAACAAAATCCTTAAGTTAGAAATGCCATTTTCACAGCAATACTAAATATGGCTTTGAACCTGACTTTTATAGCCTGCTCCTGTCTAATCTGCTGCCAGGTGGTAGCACACATTATTCACCTTAGGCCATAGGATGCTCCTTCCGGCACCACACCGTATAATCCGTTACCTCCGACATTCACGGTGCTAAGATATAAATAAATGCTTTTGTTGGAAATGCAGGAGGAGGCCTATCTGTCTTGCCCCCTCTCGTTTGTCCTCCCCATTCACTGTCTGTGTCACTGAGACTGTTTCTCACTTTTGCCCACCAAACTTATAAAGCTACAAATCAAAGAGTGCAGGGCAAGAAGAGGTTCTCAGCAGGTTGCAAATATCATATCTCCATCATTGAGACATTTGTCAGCTCAATAACCCACAGCCAAGGTTTGGGGAAGAATTACTGGGATGTGACACAGCATGTGGGCTGGAGTTCAAGGAAGCTAATGCCAAAGAGGTCTAAAGGGAGAGAATGCAGCCCATGCCCCAGCAGCAGCAGGGAGATCAAAAGAGATTTGCAGAAGGAAAGGCAAACGTCAAACTCTTACAAATAGTGCAGTACTCATTTTCTATGCTTGAGATAACGGCATATATAAAACAATGGCAGGAAATTCCATAAGGATGCATCTTTATTCATATCCTATGCGGCCTTACGTGCTCGTTGAAATACTCAATGAATGCTTGTAGAGATTGACCATAGAGAAGAAGGGCCCATCTATTTAAAACAAAACAAAGAAAACTACAGATTCCTAAGCCATCAGTCTCTAGGATTGGAGTGAACAATGCTGGTCTTTGGATCATGCCTGCTTCTGGAAATAAATATGCATAGAAAGACATCGTGACTGCCTTTGTGTTATTACCAGAAACTGAAAGACCTTCAAAGTCTATAATATTTGTTCTCTGGCTTTTACAGAACAAAATAACCAACTGTTTGCTCTCAATAAAAAAAGGAATACTTGGCAATAAGATATTGCCTGTTCTCAAGGTGTCCTTGGGCTTTGAAGCTAGGTGGGGGTATCACAACTCTAGCATAGAGACGCTTGGGCATTTTCAACTGTACAGATTTTCCAGTTGAGGATCTGGTTTCAGGAAGGGTGAAGACTGAATCGGTAATGAGATGATCAGGCTATACATGGCTTGAAATGAGTCTAATAAAAGCAAATACAGTTTAAAAAGGAATATTTCTTGTTAGTCTATTATTAGCATTTTTATGCATAATAATACTCAAGCTGCCATAAATACTTTGGGAGGAACTTTTATATATAGAATGCAGGAAAGTGAGAAAAGGAAAGATAAATAAATGGGTATGATTTTAAGGGATGCCGGGAGTGCAGATGTCACAAAGGGTCAAAGATGAGACTATGAGTATGTCCTCTCAAGCACATGGTCACTTTTTTTTAATTAGTTGTAACATCTAAAACACTGCGCTCCAAGAAACAATTACTTTTAGAACTTAAAAAAATCTTTCTCATTCATTCAGTAAATATCTCTATTCTTAGTATCAGTTAGAGGTGGCTATTGCCAGATTATGTTTTGAACATGACTGGTAAGTAGCTAAAAATCTACAGTGTACAAATAATTGCATAGGTGACATTAACACACACTAACCTCACGTAAGTTGCTCTTTCTAATATTGGAACTGTTTACACCTGGCTGGTAACCTGGGTAACTCATTTTACCCACTGCTCTTCAGATAAATCACACCTGAACAATTTCATAATCCTTGTCAATCAAGGTTCCCAAAACCATCATAGTACACACTTAAGTATTTCCTGCCATTTAATGCACTCAATACAAAAACTTCTTTCCATTGTTATTGAGGAGGTGAGAAGCTATCTCGCATATGTAGGTAAAAAGAAAGCAGACCAGATGATCTTCAAAAAGGTTCTGGAAAAATGGAATGAAGTTTATGGTTAGGGAAAAATTTGTTCCAATTCAGCATTTTTATTCATAATATGCATTTTCCATTAACTTTTTGTGAGGACTCCTCTTGTTCAGACGATAGTATAGCATAGTGACTACTGAGGTGGCTCAGGTGACAGTGGGCTTGGACTCAAATTATGATTCTTCTAATTCAATGATTTGTAACCTTGACAAATGGTTTAGTTCCTATGTGCCTCATTTTACTTACTTGTAAAACAGATGTGCTAATAAAACTTCACAGGATTTCTATGAGGACCCAGGAGGTTAAAAAAAAATAAAGTACTTGTAACTATACAATGAGCACCCACTAAATGAATGAACAAAGACGTAGCAGTAACAACCCTGCAGATGAACCCTAGAAGTCAGTTCAAGGAACTTAATTCACTATCATGTACGCTGCCCTTGAAAGCTGACCACAGGGGCAGCTACATCTCACACCATATTAGGGAAAAACCTGGCACTATGAGAAAGCTAATCAGAGAATCTGTCTTGTCAAATTAGAAGGGTGAATATCCCTAGTACTTTCCTTTTCAATTATCAAGCTCTCTCAAAAGTTTTCACAAGGCATTAGATAAGTATGTAGCAATACAATGATTTTTAAAAGATGCATTGTCTGCAACACAGTGGTTTTCATGCTGTTTCGAATGTTAATATACTAGTTTACTCTGAGAAAATGTGGAAGCAAAGGGCTTCAGTCTTAGTAAGGAGGGGAAGTTTTTGGTGACTCCATATTAAGGAAAGGAAGTTAGAGCAGACATTCTTGTAGAGGTATAGCCATAACATTTTGGGATTCACAACAAGAATATCAGGAATTATAGGTCTCTTCATCTTGCACTTGACACAACAACAATACATGTGAATTCCGTTTGATCTCTACCTCTAAAGAGAGGGATTCCTTGGGACAACAAAGAAACACTAATGATATGCAGCTCTACAATTCAACACAAGATAACCCAAGATTCAGTGCCTCTCTAAGTGTCCAAGCCTGAGTTCCTGAGCACACTGTGTTGGTTTTCAAAGAGATGGCAGTGTCAATATAGCAACTGCTCATGCACAGGAATGTGACTTGGAAAAGCAAATTGTACAGAATCCCAGTGTGCCCAGTTGTAAGACAACCTCAATAGTTTCCACCTCAAAATTACTTAATAGGGGATTTAAGGAAACATCATTTAGAGTTCAGCTCAAACAGTGGGCCCGTGGTACACTGGAGCCAGTGTGTAACACGTGATTGTTAAATTTTTAGAATTTTCACAAGGTGGTTGTTAAAACTTAGGCATTAACAAACATTAAAAATCTAAAACAACAATATACAAAAACAAATGTAAAAATTGAAAACTCATCACTCCCTATTGTTTTACTCTTTTCTAGGCTCTTGGAATTATTATAGTGACTGCATGAGGAGATAACACAAAATCGTGTGCTAGAGAGTGTCCTTTCCCAGTTCTGAGTTTCCTGCTGTCATGGGGATGGCTGGGTATCAGCTATGGTAGAACTACTTTACCCTGAACATGGTCATCCACACTACACTCGAGGGCTGTGTGTTTTCAGGTTCAAATATTATCAGCAAGCAGCAGTGCCCTCCACTCATCATCAATACCTTCGCCTTTCCTTCTCATCCCTTCTTCTTTCATAACAAAGTCCCTGGCCCTACAGAGACCATTCAAAGAGCTACCAGGGAATAACTAAAAGGTGTGACTAGCAAACGGTGTGTGTTGAAAGCACTTTCTCTGCTCCGGATTAAGCATAGGAAATAAGGAAATGTGAGAGCAGTCCTTGAGGCTGCCATGAACCCTTGAAAATAATCAGTCCTTCTCTTAAAAAACCTTTTATCTATCACCCATTTTTGATCTCCTTGTTCAAACCTGTGACTATGGAGCTGAACTCATTGTAGAGTATCATTTTTATGCCATTAGCATCCAACAAACCAAATTCTTCCAGGTAATGCCCAAAATTGCCTGCATAATCGTAGAAATAATTCAGGAGCTGGATAATTAACTTCGTCATTTATTCTCAGAAATAAAGTTATTGTGTATCTCATGCTCTTTGGAATGAGAAAACAGAGTTAAGGTTCATGATGAAGTGTTGGCTCTCTAATGCTTCCATGATTTAGAAATAAAATAAAATATATATTTGACTCTAAAAGATCAAAAGACAACCTAACCTCAAATATGCATGAGGAGTATTCAGTAAGTTAGAAGCTTATTTTTTCCTTCTTCAGATGCCTTGCTGAACACATTTATAGTTCATGCTAAAAATATATAACCTAAGTGAATTTTGTAACAAAACCTGAGGATTTCCACACATTTCCATACAAAAGAAATGATACTCTCTCACTGACATTTCCTGAAAGTAAAATCTGTCCATCTGTCCTTGAAGAAAACACTGGAAGATTGATAATCTATGGGAAAACTCTTTAGACATGTGCAGACATGAAGTCCTGTAACAGTAAATACATTTAATTACACCAAAGAAATCAACAAGGGTTTCTTATTGCTTCTGATCAATTGCTGTTGGGTATTAGTAGTAGTTTCCCATTGCAAGTTTTGCCGCCTCAGTCAAGTTATAAGTCCAATTTATAAATTCCAGATACAAGCCATTGTTAGAAGCTTTTACAATTTGACTGTAAATTTGTTTTGCTTCTTTGTGAAGTTCCCTAGAGGTAAGCTTAAAAGTAGAGACAATAGGGCTGTGAGAAATCAAGGAGGAGGATTTTAAACCACATATTACAAACAGAGAACAGAATCACAGAACGACACCACAAGAATGGACTCGGAGACAACATGGCAAGACAGATGTGCCAGACAAGACACCCATGCTTGGCTGCTGTGACAAGGCAAGAAAGTACGAGAACAAAACCATACACGGATGCTGTGAGAACAGCCCTTGGGGCTGCCATGAGCCCATGAAGTTCAAACTCCAAAAGAAAGTTATCCCCACAACTCATATGCTGGAATTGCTGGGTGAGCCTGGATGTGTCACTTGGAATGAAACACAGATGGTGTCGTTACAGCCCATGCACTGGTGATGGAGGCCATGGTTAGCTGAGTAGCTACAAAACTGTCACTGCATGCCACACAATGATCCTGGGCTTGTCCAGAAATAAAAGATACAACAGAAATTCTGTTTCTGCAATAAAATTCTTTTTATGCCATCTGATATTTATGAAGAGGGGTATGTTTCTCTGTTTCTGCATGCTCTTATTTTTTTTCTGGCTCACTGATGATCTTTTCAATTATAAGGTCATAAAGGATAAAGGCGAGGGACTGGTGCAGTTAAAGAGGAAAAATAAAGAGGGGAAGGAAGGAAATTCGAAGAAAGAATATGGATAGGTGGAGGAGGAAAACACAGTATTTCATTCTTTTATACACAACTTTCTTGGATTTTGCTGGGCTTTGATTGGCTTTGAGATAAATACTGGAGGGATATGCTGAAGGGAGAGGAATTCAAGATTAGGATGGCAAGAAAAGATTTTGTTGCCTTGATTGGTTTGCTTATATCACTCAGTATTTTAAAAGTAATGATTATAGTTACTCATAAAAGTGATAGCAATGAGTTAAAATAGCCAAATGACCAAATACCACATATGAATAAAAATAAAATAAATTGAACCACCAAAAATTCATGCGGCACAAGATGAGGTGAAACAACAATGTTCTTCAAATATATACAAGGTATATATCTATTATTATATATACACAAGAACGTGCATATACACATAGATATATCTATATAATGTTCTCTTTCCACCCTTCCCAAGGATAGCTGAATTATGGAGTCACCATTGTAATTATGACAAAGAAAGCAAAACCTAAAATAAAATGTAACATGCTTTGTTTGCAAGGCTTAAACAGTATCATGCATGTCTGTTGGCTGATGCTGTTAAAAATGATGGTGTGAATTTCTGTGTAAACACAGGACTGATGACAGGGGCTGTTAATCTCTGCTTCCACTCATTAGTCTCATTTTTACTGTGTCTACACATATATGGAGTGACTGGCGGTATATATGTGGTATACACATAGTGAATATATATGTATACACACAGTACATATACTTGGGCCTCATGGGAGGAAAAAATGCAGAAGAGAAAGAATACAAGAAAACCCGTAACATCTTCTTTTAAAACCCTATCCCTCTTTGTTTATTTTTGGGGACTTGCTTAATGATTTCATTAGGCTCACTCTATCTGCTGCTTGAGTGGCATTTGAAATCAGGAAGTTCTTCTGAGTTTGGCTTCAAGTATCCCTTCACTATGTCCATCCTTATCCCATTACTGAAAAATGCCCTGTTCCCAGACTACACTGGAGTCTAGTATTCAGAAGTCCAAAGAGGCGTTTATTGCTGAATCATAGCAGTTTTCCATAATAATTTTTGTGTCCCCCATACAGAGAAGAATGCTCTTTGGAGTTAACTAAATCCATCGCTGGTGGGTATCGTCTTGAGATGTTTCCTGCCTATCCCTGGAAGGAGTGAGCTGCTCACTGAATTACAGAACTCAGAGTGCATTTCTCTTCCGTGTCCACATTGTTCCTTCCCTTTCCTAATAGACTGTGAACTCCTGACGTCTTGTCTTAGCTATTTTGGTTTCCCAGTACTGATTCTAGTGCTTATACCTATCAGTCACTTAGATATGTCGAAGGCATCACTGATGTATTAAACTTAAGAATGGAAGTATACACACTAGTCCATTGATTTAATGGATTTCCCTGTCTTCCTTCCATGAACATATCAAAGAATCTTGGGTAATGCAATTGAATGGAATTTTTACCATTTTAAGGTGTGATTTTGCTATAAAATTCAAACAATCCTTGGGCCACGTTTTTGCTAAGCTAAATGCAATAGCTAATGTTCCCTCTACTTAGATTTCTATTCTTACTATAATGTTTAAATCCCTAATTGTCATTTGCTTTCAGAGGCATTTAGTTCCTGCAGTACCTTCAAAATTAGCTTGGGACTGAGTTGGG